TTACATAAGTATTTTGTAATTACTTTATAAAATACTAAATGGCAATTTTTACGAAGTCGTATTTCTATACACCCTGTATACAACTTATTTTTTACATGCTTAATATTTACTGTACACATGCAAAGTATTACACATATAAATTAACATAAAAGTTATTTACTACCAACATAATGAATTTGAAACTTCGAACACTAGTTACGGCTTTATATAATTAATAAATCCTTTTATTAAAATTAATAATGTAATTAAAACACTTTTATAACACATTTTTCCATAATTAATTCTTTTTACCTCGAATTAATCATTTTAAATCCGTAGATGAAACTTACAACTTTCTATTTTCGTACATCAAGATTGGCATTAATGATTCTATTTATACTTCTCCTTTGTGTGGTAAACACAGATAGGTCGTAAATGTCATCTTTGAGTTTTGGACGCTATCCCAATTTCAATTTTATAATCAAATTAGAAAAAGTTATCGTTCAGTAGTTATTGAAAATAATATATGATACCTGTTTTGTGATAATGCTTTGTGAGTTGGTCATTTCAGAACATTAACCAAGACAAACATAAAGTTTTGGCTTACAAGAGGAAGTGGAATCGTCCATCTAATCGTAAACAAAATACACTTATTTGTTAGTAAACAGTTCCTTTGATTGCGATTTAAAACAAAAAAAGAGAAATTACTTTTAATTGAGTGAAAGTGTTTGTGATGTGCCGAAATATTTTATCAACTACAGCAGCCATCAAAATTGGTTTATTATCGTCAGTTGGTTTAGTTCACTCAAAACGAAAAGGAATACTTATACATCCTACAGTTATGTTCAAGAACTATCAAAGTTTTATAAGACTTAACAATTTACCGTTTTAAATTTTTATTGCTTAAGCCGCCTACAGTACAAATATAAAATACTTCTATTCAAACAAACAAATAAACAAACAGTGATGAAGCTTTTGGAGAGCAGTCGTTTTGAAGCTATTAATAATGCTTTGTGCATTGAGAATGGAGATAGCAAAATAGTTGGACGTATTGAAAGTTATTCTTGTAAAATGGCTGGAGGAGAGAAGGCCCTGTATAAAAGATTCAATGCTGATGGAATTAATCCAAATGATTTACAAGCATTGTCACCTCCTCAAGGTTACAGTCAAAGTATTTCAGGAGATGAAGATGGACCTCTTTGTGATACTATAAGCCGAAAAACTTTGTTTTATTTGATTGCTACATTGAATTCATCTTTCCCAGATTATGATTTTATGGATGTCAAAGTACGTGTACATTATTTATTTTAGTTTTCATTTTAATTAGTAAATGATATGCAATATTATTTAGAGTCATGAATTCAGCAAAGAACCCTCTTTACAATGGGTAATGAATGCCATTGACACCAATTTATGTGCTACTGCTGGAGAAATATATCGATCTCTTAAACAGCAGCTATGGGCTGCATTAGAAGATGAAATAGTAACTAAAGAGTGTGACATCTATTCATACAATCCTGATCTGGACTCTGATCCTTTTGGAGAAGATGGTTGTTTGTGGAGCTTTAATTATTTTTTCTACAACAAAAAACTCAAAAGGATTGTCTTTTTTACCTGTCGAGCTATTAAGTAAGTACCTAAGTATTCTTTTTAACTTTATATCTGATATAGTCTTTTAACTGGACTAATTTGTAAATAATAAAAAACAAACTTTCAGTCCACTGTATGCCACTGATTCAGGAGTGGGAAGTGACTTTACAATGGATGATGATGATTTTGACTAAATGGCAATACATAAACTCATTTACTCTTTTATTCATTGCAAACAAATATCTATAATAACACCAGCACAATTTAAAGGACAGTTGCATACTTATTTAGTTTCCTCATTAGTTATTTTTCCTTTTAATAAACATATCTTAATATAATAATTATCTAGACAAGTAATAAACAAATATCTAAATTTATAAATTGCTACATAACATATTAATTAATGTAATAAAATAACCCAACAGTAACGAACTGCACTCATTTTTTTGTATATTACAGATGTATAAAACTTTCTTGTATTAAGAAATGAACTTTATTGAAAGTAAATGTATTTGCAATTATTTCTGAAACTAAAACAATGTCATTAGTCATTAGGTCATTAGCAGATAATGTGCAACCTTCCAAAAACTTGTCATCACCATGTAATAATGGAATTCCTTCAAAACTATTTAAATAACAATAAAATCGAAATTAAATTTGAATGATTCTGTTAGTGTTGTATGAATGAAAACTATTTGGCAACAAAAGCAATATAAGTACAACATTTCATATTAAATATTTTATTAAAGAGAAGGTATTGGATTAATAAAACAAAAAATATTAATAAGTTACAGTATTACAAAAAATAGTAATAAAGGACATAACTGACTAAAAAGCTTCTGTTTTCAATTACCTACATACATATTACATAAATTTACCATTCATGGTTTCCTTGTTGAATTCTAAAAGGGCCTGAAAATATCTGTGTGTGTTCTGTGGGGTGTCTTGTTAAATAATTATTATTTTCTTTTAAATAACTGCGCACATCGAAGCCGATATCATCTAATAGGGGTGGATGTTCAGTAACATGTTGATTGTGAATGTTTTCCCATGAGGATGCCTGCCAGTATCCATTTTCCGGTGCAAACCAATGGGTGTGTTTATTAAAGTCGACATGAGATCTTACTGGTAAAGAAAAATCTGTTTTGTAATCCAATTTTGCATCAGCAGAGGAAAATGTTTCTTGGCTTTCATGTTCGCAAGATTTTCTAGGGGGTCCATACACTGTTGCAGGTGTTTTTGGAAGTTCGTTAACTTCGTAGGAGTTTTTAAGAAATCCATATATTTCCTCATGCTCTTTATTAGGAGGTCCATAAACTTCTGCAGGTTTTACTATTGGAAGTTCATACGTCTTAAAAGGTTTTCTAGGAGCTCCATATTCCTCAGCAGGTTTCATGGGAAGTTCATAAGTTTCACATAGTATTTTCGGAGGTCCATATGTTACAGCAGGTTTTTCTGGGGGTCCATATGTTTCAGCAGGTTTTTTCGGAGGTCCATATTCTTCAGCAGGCTTTGTAGGAAGTCCATATATTTCAAAAGGCTTTTTAGGAGGTCCATACACTTCAGCAGGCTTTGTGGGAGGTCCGTATGTTTCAGTAGGTTTTTTCGGAGGTCCATACACTTCGGCAGGCTTTGTGGGAGGTCCATATGTTTCAGCAGGTTTTTTCGGAGGTCCATATTCTTCAGCAGGTTTCGTTGGAGGTCCATATATTTCAAAGGGTTTTTTCGGAGGTCCATACACTTCAGCAGGCTTTGTGGGAGGTCCATACGTTTCAGCAGGTTTTTCTGGAAGTCCATACACGTCTGCAAGTTTCGTCGGAACTTCATACTTTTCAAAAGGTTTCCTGGGAGGTCCGTATTCTTCAGCAGGTTTCGTTGGAGGTTCATAAGGTTTTGATGGATTGTAGTATGTAAAATGAGCCACTGTTGGACTCAACCAATGATAATTTTTTTTCTGATAAAGCGACACCTTTGAAATATGCTTGTTAAAATCGTGTGCATCATAAATAGGGAGTTCCATGGTAACTTTACTGAACTCCTCGTTCCTTTTTGTATCGAAATCACTACGAATGGGAAACTTAAATGTCGGAGGTATATCGTGTTCTCTAAAAGGCGTTCCATACTCCTGTGGTGGTTTTACTGGTCTGCTGTTGATAGACAACAAAATAGCCTTTCTTCTTGGATAATTATTCCAAAAATGCAATCTTCCACTCGACGGACCGTGTCCCCCAGGTGGAAGTCTGTGTGTAGCTAACGTAAAGGAACTCAAATGTAGTACCAATAAAAAGAATATCTGAAAATGAAATACATAACATTACAAATTAAACTTCAAAAGACTATATGAGTTCATATTTAATTATTGTTTTGTTATAATAACAAACTAATGAATAAATACATATCGTCAACTTACCATTTCAAATGATGATTTTGTTTTCTTCAAAAAAACGGTACTCGTTGTAAACACCACCTAATCGAATTATTCAACGAAACTAAACGGTTTTGAAAGTAGCATTGTCTTATATACTTTAATTGAATATAATTATACATTAATCACGTAGAAATTTGTCGATTAGTTACTATATAATAACAGAAAGTATTATCTTCAAAAATTTGCCACTTAATTAAAATGTCGTTTGTTTTCGAATGTGAAATCTTTTAAATCTCTTATTTTCAAACGGAGAATATTATAATGAATATTTTCTGCTATTTTTATAATTTGTATTAATTCGTTCATATTGCAAAATTGTAAGACTCTTCCTTATTTATATATATGATCCATAGTCTCCATGTATCAAAAGGGAGAAAAATGTATATGTAAATTTTCGATCTTAAAGCGTTTTAAATACTTTAACTGTTTTTAAATAAACTAAAAAAGACTCACCCATAATAATCCCACGTATTTTTTAAAAAATAGACATGTGTTTCGTCCACCTTCAGTGTGACCATTATCAGTGGGAGCCGTCGTTTACATATTACATAGTTTTCACATTTTGTAAACATATTTACGTATTATCAAACGTTAATAACATCAGTAAAAAGGAAATTAAGTTGATTTATATTCGTAAAATTATAACTTACTGCTAATAATAAATCTTCTACACCATTGATACACTACGGCTACACATTCTATAAGCTTTATTTTGCTGAACATACCCAATGAAATGTCTATATCATAGACAATGGTATCATCATTGCGTGTTATTATCTATGATAGACAATCAAGAAGAATATGGAGCATAGATATCGAGAATAACATAACCTATGGAAATAACATCAACATAACCTACATTCAATAAATACAAATCATTTTTAAGTAAAACGGGTAAAACGTTTTCAAAAGATTAAACTAAAAACTTGTACCACGTCTTATTAGTGAGTATATAAGGCAGTTATGTTTTTTAGAAAATAGTATTAAAACACTACTGCAACTTTTTATTTATAATTCTTAATGTGTGATTATTTTTGAGTTACAAATGATCAAGATTAAAAACACTTTATTACCTCCATTTCCTCGGTTGTTTTGTAATCGACATTCAAATATTGCCAATAAGCCTAAAACGTTAAATAAAATAGAAGCATGGCAGATACATAATTATGGAGACTTAAATGAACTTCAATTATCTCAAATGCGAACACCAGTTATTACTGATCCTGACCAGATTTTAATTAAAGTGGAAGCTGCATCTTTAAACCCCATAGATAAAGCTATGATTGGTAATTTCACAAGGCAAGTATGTATTATAACTATTTTAAGAACTGTGTTTTGTAGGTGGTTATGGAAGAAGAATTTTTAATTTATTTAGAGAAAATAACTTAGAATTTCCATTAACATTAGGACGAGACTTCTGTGGTGAGATTGTAGAGAAAGGTCATAATGTAGGAAGAAGTTATCAATTAGGAGACAAAGTATATGGATTTATCCCATTACATAAGCAAGGAAGCCACTCACAATTTGCCCTTGTTAATCAAAATCATGTAACTTAATTTTCATACAAGATCAGTTTTCAACTTTTCTAATTAGTGTTTTAACTTGTTAACAAGTAGATTTGTCATAAACCAAGCCATTTAAGTCATGTTGAGGCAGCTTCAATTCCGTATGCTGCAATGACTGCATATGGTGGTTTATACATAGCAGGAGGTCTTCTTATGAAGGATGTTGGTAGATGCCAAATTTTACTGTTGGGAGCTTCAGGAGGTGTCGGTACAATGGCTGTACAATTGTTAAAGGCACAAAAAGCTAAAGTATGATATTTTATTTTTATTTTCAGTTCATTCTTAATTGCTATAGAAAATAATCTTTTATAGGTTGTTAGCACTTGTTCTGCTGATGCAGTGCCTTTGGTAAAGGCTTTAGGAGCAGATAATGTTTTTGATTACCATCAAGCAAATTATGAAAGTGAAGTGGCAGCAAGGGGTAGGTCAGTAAAGAAAATAATATTTGGAGAAAAAATGTTTTTGATTTTCTTATTTTGTTTTTTTTTTGTAGATATGACGTTATTTTAGACTGCTGCAAATTTGGTTTTGAAAATCTTCCAAAGAGTTGGAAATATACAAACTTTGTTAATCTAAATTCGCCACTACTAGTTAATACTGATGAACAGGGACTTATTTTAGGACTTACAACAAGTGCTGGGAACCTTCTCAGTTCCAATATATTCAGTATTTTGGAAGGAAGATCAATTAGATGGGGCTTCTTTGTTCCTTCAACCAGTGGATTTCAGTTTATAGATAAATTAGTAAAAAGGCAGAGAGTGAGTATAATTGCATCACAATAAGTTTCCTATTGAATAAAAGGCTTTATTGTAGATAAAACCAGTCATCCATAAAGTGTTTAAGTTTCATGAATTGCCTAAGGGACTCGAAATGTTAAGTGCTGGTCACTTAAGAGGAAAAATCGTTGTAGATTTTGGAGAGAATCTATAATATCATTTATTTCATCGTTTTTGTTGTTTTTATATATAATAGAAAATTAAAAATCGTTTTATATAAAGCACTATTATTTTATTTACATAAGTATTTTGTAATTACTTTATAAAATACTAAATGGCAATTTTTACGAAGTCGTATTTCTATACACCCTGTATACAACTTATTTTTTACATGCTTAATATTTACTGTACACATGCAAAGTATTACACATATAAATTAACATAAAAGTTATTTACTACCAACATAAAGAATTTGAAACTTCGAACACTAGTTACGGCTTTATATAATTAATAAATCCTTTTATTAAAATTAATAATGTAATTAAAACACTTTTATAACACATTTTTCCATAATTAATTCTTTTTACCTCGAATTAATCATTTTAAATCCGTAGATGAAACTTACAACTTTCTATTTTCGTACATCAAGATTGGCATTAATGATTCTATTTATACTTCTCCTTTGTGTGGTAAACACAGATAGGTCGTAAATGTCATCTTTGAGTTTTGGACGCTATCCCAATTTCAATTTTATAATCAAATTAGAAAAAGTTATCGTTCAGTAGTTATTGAAAATAATATATGATACCTGTTTTGTGATAATGCTTTGTGAGTTGGTCATTTCAGAACATTAACCAAGACAAACATAAAGTTTTGGCTTACAAGAGGAAGTGGAATCGTCCATCTAATCGTAAACAAAATACACTTATTTGTTAGTAAACAGTTCCTTTGATTGCGATTTAAAACAAAAAAAGAGAAATTACTTTTAATTGAGTGAAAGTGTTTGTGATGTGCCGAAATATTTTATCAACTACAGCAGCCATCAAAATTGGTTTATTATCGTCAGTTGGTTTAGTTCACTCAAAACGAAAAGGAATACTTATACATCCTACAGTTATGTTCAAGAACTATCAAAGTTTTATAAGACTTAACAATTTACCGTTTTAAATTTTTATTGCTTAAGCCGCCTACAGTACAAATATAAAATACTTCTATTCAAACAAACAAATAAACAAACAGTGATGAAGCTTTTGGAGAGCAGTCGTTTTGAAGCTATTAATAATGCTTTGTGCATTGAGAATGGAGATAGCAAAATAGTTGGACGTATTGAAAGTTATTCTTGTAAAATGGCTGGAGGAGAGAAGGCCCTGTATAAAAGATTCAATGCTGATGGAATTAATCCAAATGATTTACAAGCATTGTCACCTCCTCAAGGTTACAGTCAAAGTATTTCAGGAGATGAAGATGGACCTCTTTGTGATACTATAAGCCGAAAAACTTTGTTTTATTTGATTGCTACATTGAATTCATCTTTCCCAGATTATGATTTTATGGATGTCAAAGTACGTGTACATTATTTATTTTAGTTTTCATTTTAATTAGTAAATGATATGCAATATTATTTAGAGTCATGAATTCAGCAAAGAACCCTCTTTACAATGGGTAATGAATGCCATTGACACCAATTTATGTGCTACTGCTGGAGAAATATATCGATCTCTTAAACAGCAGCTATGGGCTGCATTAGAAGATGAAATAGTAACTAAAGAGTGTGACATCTATTCATACAATCCTGATCTGGACTCTGATCCTTTTGGAGAAGATGGTTGTTTGTGGAGCTTTAATTATTTTTTCTACAACAAAAAACTCAAAAGGATTGTCTTTTTTACCTGTCGAGCTATTAAGTAAGTACCTAAGTATTCTTTTTAACTTTATATCTGATATAGTCTTTTAACTGGACTAATTTGTAAATAATAAAAAACAAACTTTCAGTCCACTGTATGCCACTGATTCAGGAGTGGGAAGTGACTTTACAATGGATGATGATGATTTTGACTAAATGGCAATACATAAACTCATTTACTCTTTTATTCATTGCAAACAAATATCTATAATAACACCAGCACAATTTAAAGGACAGTTGCATACTTATTTAGTTTCCTCATTAGTTATTTTTCCTTTTAATAAACATATCTTAATATAATAATACCTTGGGTGATATTAATATTCTGTTGTGTAATGAAGTTTATAAAAAGTGTGTAAAAAGAGTTGATAATTTCAACATAGTATTTTTAGTTTAACGTTTTAATCACTTTTAAATGTGTAAGATACATTGACATAAGTAATTGTTGTTAATACACATTCAATTAATACATAAACACTTAAAAAGTCAATGTGCAGATAAGTACTGCAGGGTCTGACTTAAAAAATAATAAGCAAACAATAAATTGTACTTATTCTTTTCTTTATTAAAATTGTCAATTTAGAAAAATATGATCAAAACGGTTTTATTAATTACTTTAGTCAGTTGCACTCTTAAAAATGTCATTATCTAATAATGATAAGTATAATGTTAATGTTATAAAAGTAGAGTAAAAGAAAATAACTTTAGTCAGTCACTTTTGGTGAGAGCAAAAGTACAAAAAATGTATTCGTATGTGTATATATAAATATAGGAATAGATTAAGGTGAATAATGTCCCCGTGGTTTTTAATATATTTTCTTGTAGTCAGGAATGTTTGTGTACGATCTGTATGAAAAAACTTTAATGTATCTCATCAGAAATTTGTATTCATAATTAAATTTTTAAGGTCTTATTAATCGTCAACTTCTAATTTCGTGTTAAACTAATAAATAAGATTTAAAATATGCACTACGTTATTCAATTAATCAACCTTTATATATAGTTATTTTAAATGGAGCAATGCTTTATTTTTAACAATTTTTTAAATTTAAGAATGGGACTACATACATATCCACTATAAAATACAATTTGAGTACATTTAAAACATTAATTCAAGTTCTTCAAAATTATTTAAATAACATTTAACAATGTTAAACACATATAATTTATTCTTACTGTTTAAATATACGAATTCCATTGCAAAATAACCCATTTGCCATTATTTTAAAATATAATTTGTTAAGAAAAAAAAAATTCTAATACTGATCAAGAACTCAATAACAACATAATTCATAAGTACTTATATATTAATTTAATAAAATGTGAATTGTGATAATCAAAAAAAATAATAAAATTTGCCAACAAATTTCTCTACGTTTTATGCTATGTTTACTGATACATCATTACATCCGGACTTTGATACATACATATGTAAGCGTCACATAGTAATCTACGAGCGTGTTCAGGAAGATACCTATCAGATGGGGCATTTTCATGTAAAACTCTACATAACTGTTCGTCTGACAACCACTTTGATACGTCAGGACAAGCAACCATTTCAGGAATGTTATATCCATTCTGTTCTCCTATTTTGTAGAATAACAAAATGACCATAAGCAAAAATAAATAATAGACTGATTAAGATAATACCTTTTCTATCTGCCATGGAGTCAAAAAAACACCAAGGGGCCTCATGACCAGAGCCGCATTTTACAAAAGACACGTAATGAGACGTTTCAATGCACACAACAGCAAATAGTTCCATAAAGAGACGAGGAGGTGGGCAATGCTCTGCCATTATTATGTAATCTTGCGAGACCGTCAGGGGACGAGGACTGTGAGCAGAACGTCTCTGATGTGCATGTACCTTCTTTAAACAAGGATCACAAAAAGCTGTACTTGCAAGCCCTTCTTCACAGTCACCAAAGCATTCCTTGCATTCCCAATTTGCCAACTGACCACAAACGGTACACTGACGTGGAGCTAAAATATTTGTTTCAATTTAGTTACCAATATTTTAAAAATAAAAAGGCAACATACAATCATCGATTATATCTGTAACGTCCAAGAGCTGAGAAGGCAAAATTCTGGGATACATCTTGTAATTTTTGCCAAACCGCGGCATCTGTATAATTAAACATGAGGGAACTTGTTTCAATTTGATGTCACTTGAAAGAAAACTTTGTTCGAATAACTGTTGCACTGTGGGCAAACTTAGACCATCGTCCTTTTCGACGAAGAGTTGATAATAATACGACTCTTGCCCAGAATTTAATTTTAGAAACGGCTCAGCCTTTAAAATCTGCGCTAAAAGACAATTCAGAAACTCCTCGGGGTCTTTTTCTTCGGTAGTCAGTCCTGATACGGAGCTCAGTTGATCTAGTAATTTCCGCAAGTCCATTACTCGATCTGCTCGTACATACAAGTTTGATCGAAGGGGATTAACTATTTCTTCTCTTAAAACTCGTTGCACCTATAAAAATCAATATAAATACTTCATACAGTAGTATAAATTCAAATACTGACTTCTTCATAACGGGGTATGTCGTTGGAACTTGTCGGACGAAATAACAAGCTATCGAAAACTGCGGTAAATGTAAACATAGCGAAAAGGGTTGCGTCTAAGTAACAAGAATTATGATGTCCTTGAATTCCGCGAAATTTACCACAAACTGCGTTCACGTCTTCTTCTGTGGGCATACAAAGAGGAGCGATTGCACCTTCGATTATGGGACAGTCCTGCAGACAAAAAGTTGTAAGAGGTAATATTTAAATATAAAACGTATTAACGTTACCTTCCCAAAAACTTTGTCAGAGTTGTAACTAGGGGTAGGAGTACCATCTAAAAATCTAGAGTCTTTTTGGCACTGTTCTAGCCATACAAACATGCCCTTATTTTCTGCACATTTAAAGTATCTTTTACCATTGTGAGTACCATCTGTTAAATTAAGAGGTAAATGTGTTTGCTCTTCTTCCAACTCGACTCCTACTAGAACTTGCTTAGTTATAACATCGACTCCCATCCATCTGATCACCCCATAAAGAGGCTCTTTAGCAACAACGTTTGCTATTTCAACTAAACTTCCTATCGACAAATCTTTTGTTGTTCCTGGATCTGGAGGGTAGTATAAGATGGGCGGATCTTTCCTGTTAGACGTCGAAGGCATATCACCCAATCTTTCATGTTGAGTGGGTTCTTTCGATCGATTTAATTCTAAAACAGTTAACGGAATTTGATTGTAAATATCATCTTGATACACTGGCTTGTTTGAAGGAACACTATAAATATTACAATTTANCGTCGAAGGCATATCACCCAATCTTTCATGTTGAGTGGGTTCTTTCGATCGATTTAATTCTAAAACAGTTAACGGAATTTGATTGTAAATATCATCTTGATACACTGGCTTGTTTGAAGGAACACTATAAATATTACAATTTAAACTCGAATTATTATATATCGATAGTGGTTTTAAATTTTGTTGCCTTTTGTAGGACATATTATTTTTAAATGACTATACGCTAACGTGACACGTTAAAACAAAAAACAGCATTTAATGACTTGTATGTATGAACATACGTGTACAATGTTAAAAATAGACGCATGAAAAAGCAGTACATATGCTTCAGTTATACTGGTGTGCTAAAAATAAACACCCCCAAAAATGTTTTAACAACATACATCCATTATGAAGTTTCTACTGATAATGAATAGTGTTCAGTATACAAGTATGTTATTGTGAATTCTGGATTCTCTTGTAGGTAATTTTACTAACTTTAAGTACAGTTTTAAGGTAATATGAATTCTTACTTTCATTTTGTTCATAAGGTAAATAAAATGTTGATCTGCTTTCTTTCAGTTCCTCTAAACATTTATTCTTTTTAGGTAAAGTTTTACTTCCATTTACCAAATGAGACATTAAATTGCTGCTTTTGTTTCTCATCTCCTTTGCTGATCCATTAATAACTGCATTAACATGATTACTTTTGTGACAATCTCTAATATAATTATGGTGGCTCTCAGATATATTGCTTAAATCATTACATTCCTGATGTCTCTTTTCTCCAATGTCTATCAAATTTAATTCAGACTTGTGTCTTTGCTCTGCATAGGTTTTGTCTTGCTCCCTTTGTTTTCCAGACAATAATTTTGTTTTATCTGCTTGAATAATGGAGTTCTGGTCAAAATCATTATTTGCATTACTGCTATGAATACTAATGGGGTCATAAATATTTTGCAATGAAAGAGATGTTTTAAGCTGCATATTGTTTGACACATTCTTAAAGGAAATGTTATCATTTTGTATTTCTTGTTTGTACAATTCAGTACTCTTAGAATTAGTTATTATATTTTGCAGATACTTTTCAGTAAGTTTGTCTATATTTGAAGAAGTTGACTGTTTTGAATAAACAGCTGGATGTGAAGTGTAAAATTTATATGGGACAATTTTCTCAATAGATGTAAATAATCCAAATCCTGGTTCACAGTGGAAATACCTAATTCCAGCACAAGAACCGTCGCATCTATTTTCAGGTTTCTTTTCCTACAATGACAACATATAAGAAAATAACTTGAAAGATAAATGGAAACACTTACATGTAACAAAATTCCAAAACCTTTTCCAAATCCTTTAATGGATCCTTTAAATTTAACCACACCAATGTAGATGTCATTATCAGTAAACACCACTGATGAATTGAGGGTAGTATTTGCTAATGCTTCACAAAGCTCTGAATTTTTTGCTAGTTTAACACGTTCCTGTGGTGAAACAACGCTCGATAAGTAGGGCCAAATTTCTTCGCAAACTTCTGCAATAACGTATTTTTCACAGTAAAACGATTCGTCCTCCCACGTCTCATAATCATCTTTTAAAATTTTTATCGTAACTTTCTCCTTTGAAACTTGCTCTTGAATTTTCACAACGGTTCCCAGCAAGATTGTTCTTTCTGTTTGAATTCGATTAATACTTACAATGCTAACAAGCACATTTCTAGTCACTACACCAAAACCTGTTACTTTAACACGATTCATAGCACAAAAACTATCGTTATCAGCTACTCGCAGACAATTAAACCATTTATTTCAGTACAATTTGAATAATAATAAATAAACATAACCTTTTCGTATTTATTTGTCAACATTCGTCATACAGATATTTTAGTGACGTTTGAAATACCAATTGTACAAGCAACCGTAATTTTAAAAATCCCCATATGTTGCGCAAAATTTAAATGTTTATCTGCGTTTATAATAATTCTTCAACTTCTCTTTGTTTTAGGACAAAAGTCAACATATATAATATTTTAACGTTTTATAATAGGCTTTTAAAAATTCTGTTTGAAAAGAGAAATTATAAATTCATTAGGTTTTTATTTATTTTAAAGTATATGTATATTATTTGTCGGTAAAACAAACATATCAAATAATTATCTTTATTACAACAAACTTACGAAATTTTGCACGTCGCGGGATGTCCAACGTTTTTTGTAAGTTCACCTCCTTTAAGCACGTTATTAACAACTGCTCTTGCCAAATAACCGATGCATTGCAAATAAGATGCGTTGAACAAATACGTAATATCGTCGCCGTTTAATTTATTATCCTACAAAATGAGTAAGATAAGTAAAAAAAATGACGAAAAAATTAAAAACACACTTTTGCATACATATGAGCTGCATCTTTAACCAGCTGTTGCAAATCTAAAGAATCATTAAAACTGAGTTCAGGATTTCTTGTTAGAATCGTCGATACAACAACCAATAAATCTACAATTAACTGTCGATATTCGGGCTGTTGTATGTTATTTAGTGCCTAAAATACGTTATAAAATAATAATTAAAATAACTGAAACTATAATATAAACAGATCACCTCTTCAACTAGTAAAGCGAAAGTTATTTCGGACCTAGTCATATTGGACAGAGTAGGATTTTGAGGAATTAAGTTCCCCATTACCACGATTCCGCCGGGTGTTCGGGTGAGAACGTCCCACACCTGATAGTAAAAAGAAGCCGGTACTCTACATAAACAACCCTCCAGCTGTCTTCTTTGGTACGGCGTTAGACTTAAAAGAAGATGAGTGAAACATAAAATAAAACATTTGTAAGTGTACCATCAGAAAAACATCTTAATAAAGACAAACACACAGCAAGAATTTTTCAGCAGTTAATAACAATTATTTCGATCTTGTCAGTTATTTTCAAGAGCATAGAAAACATTGTTGTTTAATATTTTTCTTTAAATAAAAGTTCCTACATACTTTTCTGTATTGGCCCACTCCTTAATAGATAAAACTTTATAGACTAGTAATCTGATTTCATAGGGACTATGTTCCTCCAGCTGTTTCGAACTATTTGTAATTTTTAAATAAATTCTCATCGCCTCTATGAACCATCCAGCTCTTATTTTTAATATTCCTCGAAACAATTCCGGATTTGTTGATATAAGTCTGCCACAGTAGAGTATAACTTCTTGTTGTAAAACTGCCTGGATAACGTCATACGGTTGAATTGTGTTATAAATTATAGACTGAATCTCAATAGGTGTCATTGGCTTATCAAAAACTGTCTCCTTTTGATTTATAACACCTACAGTTAACTAAGAAAAGAAATTTCTTTCAATAGACATTATCATTTGTATGTTTATTGTCACCTACTTGCTTTCCATGTACTAAAACGGCAGTAATGAAAGGACTAATGGAATCGACGCTATGGTGAAGTAAACTACTCGTATAACGTACAGCTGCCCAGTTACCAACACTACCAGCTTTATGGTACAACATTCTTATATGTTCTTCTACAGTGATGTCGTCTAGTATATAGTTTGCGCCTTCTTTTTTCATCAATATCCCAAACAATTGACTCTTTGCGTAAACGCTTTCGTTGTGTTTTATTTCGTTGATAATTTCCTCGGTGGGTTTGTTTTCAAAATCCTTAAAAAAATAATTTTATGTTCTATACAAAATAAATATATCTTTGGTATCAACTTTTAGATCTTTTAATTCTTCATTTAAATGAAAGAGCCTCGGTACGTCCGTTAAACTTTGGTAACCAATATAATCATGAACCAGCTGCTCGAAATGGGAAAACGAGTCGTCAGGTAAGTCAATAATATTCATAAAGTCTAAATGTTCTATAAATTATAGATATTATAAACCAAACGCAGTTTTAGTAAAAAAAAAAATAATTTACCCATGCAAGAGCTGGAAATTAAGTTCTGTAATCTTCCTATTCTAACTTTGACACCATCACAGTAACCTTGTTTTAACATAGCAAGGAGATCGAGCATCTTCTTGAATTGAGGGTCTCTCATGTGTTCCTCTCGAATTAACAGGCACACAGTGGGTCGTCCAGATAAACGCCAATACCGTCCTACGAACTGAAGTTCGGTTTTAACGTCGTCGATCAAAAGAGCCATGTCACGGTATAAATAAAAGTCGGACACCTCAAATATGAGGGGATAACAGAGTACGGTCATCCCACAAACTCTATAAACCTGAAAACACATTAATTAATAATTGCCTTAATGCAAACCAATCATATTTACTTTGCTAGTTCCTAAACTGCCGACAGGTCTGAGAGGTCTTCCTTCGAGTCCTAATTTTTTATTAACGCCTAAATTCTGGTACACCTTAACCAATTGGGTGGAGGACCATATTTGAACCGGCTCGACCTCATGCGGGGTCTGCGTTTGAATTCCGTACGTAGCCATCATTGCTTGCAATCTCATTGATTCCGCTATCAACACTATTTGGACGACCAGGTCTGTAGCAGTGCCCTAAAAGGTAAACGAATAGTACCTAAGTAATAATTAAGAAACAATTGATTTGACATAACAAAATATGCAAAAAGAGAACATTAACGTCGAGTTATATGTTTGCAGGAAAAAACGTTAATTAAATATATATACATAAGACAAAAACAGAGTGTAGGCATACTATAATAGAAAGCTTATCAAGCTAGAAGCGAAAAATGTATGTTGTGAAATGTACAACGTAAAACGAAATTACTTACAACGCACGGCTTGGCCTGCAACATGAAAACAAAAAAACTTAATTAATACTCCGCCGGAAAGCGATTTAAAAGCATTTAAAAATAAAATAAAACAATTTTAAAACCTTATATTGTTAAAATCAGACCCATTTGTTTAGTTTGTTAGTAATTACAACATACAAGCTCTTTGTAGTTAAACAACTTGTAAGAAACATATTTGCTACAATTACTAATAATAATTAACTACAAGCATTAAAAGGTTAAAAGAATTAGAACTTTTTTTACACCTTTGTAATTTTGCTTTGATTGTGAATATATCAAATTTTAAATTATAAAACACATAAAAAACAACTTTTAGAAGTAACAATGTGTAATTATTACCTGAAAGGCTGAGTATCTTCCACATTTTCGTGGTCTATTGTAAGACGGTAAATACCTACGAATGGGATCCAATTCATTAATATGTAACAACCCTGCAGTTAAAAGCTGTGCCAAAACAAACATAGCTTGATTCCATAGGAAGAGACCTTGTATCTTGCAGGGCGACCTTAAAATCGTATTTGGTTCATTTCGCTCCTGTTCTAATTGATCTTCGGGAACATAAAAACACATTGGTATAATTGGGTCTAAAATTGAATAATTAATTCTTATTTTGGAGATTTTAAAATGTAAATAATTCCAAACCTCCAAAAGAATCTCTAAACATTCTAGCCTTAAGTAAATCTTGATATTCTTCTATTTGTTCTGGGGAGGATTTAAAAACACCATCTATTATCATAAGCATGTAGAATAAGGGCCATTCACACTCCACATTTTCAAAATTTTTAATTTCTCCCACATTGTAATAACTGCAGAACAGTAAATATCAATAAAATATAAAAACATTTACTAAATAAGTAAATATATATACCGTTTTTTAGGATCTTCAATTATAGTTTTGTATCCATCCCTACTGAAACGTTTAAAACCACAAGTGCCTTTCAATTTACTCAAAACATTAGTCTTTGTCTGATTGTACAAAACGTCTTCGTGAGTCGCGAATGCAGGAAAAGATATAGTTAAAAGAAGAGATGCATCTACAGACTTGAAAAAAAAAAAACAAGTTATTTTCATATAAATGATGGTTAAAAAAGTATCAACCTTAGATGAAGACTCTCTGGGTAGCATGGTTTCAAAGATACTTCTGTTTCTATTATGGGCATCTATATCAACATAAATTACACTCCAAGAAGCCCCCTTTTCTCCAAAGAGATTACAACCATTGATTGCCTCCAAAGCTGACTTAGCCATACCAATAGAACTAGCATGTATTTCAGGTGTACCATCGTTATATTTACTTCCCCTTTCCCACATACCAAAGTCTGGAGTCCTGTAAGCCCTTTCCACATAATAAACCAGATTTTGCACAAAAGCTACTTCATCCTAATAAAGATTATTCATTTACAAATTACAGCAATAAATCAAAGGAAAAGTACCTGTGTATAAATTATCTGAAGGCCAGAAGTTATCATCTGCACCAAAAATATCAAATAAACTGATACTACATCAATTTGCAAGTGAGGATACTCTTCATCAGTAAACACAGTGTCACCAGTAGTTAAGTGAAATTTGACATGTAAAGCATACACCGAACTTTGTTGTTTTTTAAATAATTCTATCCTTTTGGCTTGTTTTATCCAACATTCCAATATGCCTCTCATACATTTGATAGCTGATTGCCCCAACTCATAAGATTTACCTCTGTCATCGTCAATTCGTCTAAAAGATGCCCCATTAAAATTTATGTACACTTCATAATACTTTAATATACCTGTAGGACTGATATAGACCCCAAACGGCAGCTGCACAGTAAACGCTTTCACGTACACTTCCAATTTCAGTATCTGTAGAATATATAGGAAATAATCCTGTAATTGGGCTCTGATAACGAAGCAGTTGTCTTTTAACTGAAATTTATGATTCATTTATATATTTATAAAAGTACAAATCATTCTCACCGATTCCGTAATATATATCCAATTGTCTAACGGTTTCTTCATAATTAGATATTTTCAAAAACTGATCTAAATTAATATTGTCATCTAAAATACTAGGTTGCCTGGAAACTCTCATTTTAAAATGGTAAAAGAAAATTCAAAGCACAGTAACCATATACCTAGAGGCAGACATAGTAATTCATATATCATTTAATTAATTGCGTTTATCAAGCCTTCATAATGATATTTATANCTCTCCGGCTAGACATTAAACGTCGCCTAACGGCGAGATCTGATCGAGTAAAATGTGTCGATTTACATCCTTCTGAACCCTGGATGCTATGTTCCTTGTACAACGGAAATATAAACGTATGGAACCATGAAAACCAGCAACTAGTTAAAAACTTTGAGGTCTGTGATTTACCCATTAGAACAGCAAAGTTTATTCCGAGAAAGAACTGGATTGTGGCTGGTTCAGATGATATGCAAATTAGGGTGTTTAATTATAATACTTTAGAAAGAGTTCATACTTTTGAAGCTCATTCTGATTATCTACGAAGCATCGTAGTTCATCCAACTCAGCCATACATTCTCACTAGTAGTGGTTAGTATATTTTGATTCTTGCCTTTTACCTGACATTTATTATAATGCTTAAAAAAAATATCCTTCCCAGATGATATGTTAATAAAGTTATGGAACTGGGAAAAATCATGGGCTTGTCAGCAAGTTTTTGAAGGACATTCCCATTATGTCATGCAAATTGCACTTAATCCTAAGGATAACAATACATTTGCAAGTGCTTCACTTGATAGGACACTTAAAGTTTGGCAGTTAGGTGCTGCTACAGCTAATTTTACTTTGGAAGGGCATGAAAAAGGGGTAAATTGTGTTGATTACTACCATGGTGGTGACAAGCCCTATCTGATATCAGGAGCAGATGATAGACTTGTAAAAATATGGGACTATCAAAATAAAACTTGTGTGCAAACATTAGAAGGTCATGCTCAAAACATAAGTGCTGTATGCTTTCATCCAGAGCTTCCCATTGTATTAACAGGCAGTGAAGATGGTACTGTAAGAGTTTGGCATACAAACACACATCGTCTTGAAAGTAGTCTTAATTATGGTTTTGAAAGGGTGTGGACAATTTGCTGTCTTAAAGGTGTGGTAATAGTCTTAAATATTTCTTTCTAAATGTAAATGTTTTTAATGTTTAAATATCACTTCAAGGTTCAAATAATGTGGCTTTGGGTTATGATGAGGGCAGCATTCTGGTGAAAGTCGGCCGTGAGGAGCCAGCAGTTAGCATGGATGCTAGTGGAGGCAAAATAATATGGGCACGGCACTCAGAACTTCAACAGGCCAACTTGAAAGCGTTACCCGAAGGGGCTGAAGTTCGAGATGGGGAACGTCTTCCCGTGGCCGTCAAAGACATGGGGGCATGCGAGATTTATCCACAGACAATCCAACATAATCCTAACGGGCGTTTTGTCGTCGTTTGTGGAGATGGTGAATACATTGTGTATACAGCAATGGCTTTGAGAAACAAGGCATTTGGTAGTGCACAGGAATTTGTGTGGTCACAAGATTCAAGTGAATATGCGATTCGAGAAGCAGGATCAACGATTAGGATTTTTAAAAATTTCAAAGAAAAGAAAAACTTCAAGCCCGACTTTGGAGCGGAAGGTATCTTTGGTGGTTGGCTTTTAGGAGTGAAGTCTGTGTCAGGACTGACCTTCTACGATTGGGATACTCAGGATTTAGTTAGAAGGATTGATATACAACCCAAGGCTGTCTTTTGGTCAGATAGTGGTAAACTCGTATGTCTAGCTACCGATGACAGCTTCTTTATTTTAAGTTATGATGCTGATCAAGTTCAGAAAGCTAGAGAGGCAAACCAAACATCTGAAGATGGAATTGAAACTGCATTTTCAGTCTTAGGAGAAGTAAGAAGAAAATAATACGAAAATAGTCAGATTTCTTCAAAAACACTTTACATCTTTTTCTTTTAACAGGTAAATGAAACTGTAAAAACGGGATTGTGGGTTGGAGACTGTTTCATATACACAAACGCAGTAAATCGTATAAATTATTACGTGGGCGGAGAACTAGTTACTATAGCCCATTTGGATCGTCCTTTGTATCTTTTGGGGTATGTACCTCGAGATGAACGTCTTTACCTCATCGATAAGGAACTCGGTGTGGTCAGTTATCAATTGCTAGTGTCTGTATTGGAATATCAGACGGCTGTTATGCGTAAAGATTTCTCTGTGGCCGATAAAGTATTACCGTCAATCCCAAAAGAGCATCGAACGCGTGTGGCGCACTTCTTAGAAAAGCAGGGCTTCAAACAACAAGCCCTAGCCGTCAGTACCGATTTAGAACATAAGTTTGACTTGGCAGTTTCTCTTAAAGATTTAAATACTGCCCATGCCCTCGCCAAAGAAGCAAATAGTTCACAAAAGTGGAATCAACTTGGAGAACTTGCTATTGCTTCCAATGACCTTAAATTAGCCAAGGAATGCATGAAAAGTGCACAGGATTTCGGAGGATTATTGTTGATAGGAACTAGTACTGGTGACGAAAAATTAGTTCAAGAGTTAGGACAAGCCACTCTTTCAGAAGGTATATTATTTGTTTTATTACTATTTCTGGTATGATTGGATATTTTCTTTTGTTTTCTAGGAAAAAACAATTTAGCATTCTTGTCGTACATGTTGCTGGGTGATTTACATAAATGTCTCGATATTTTGATAGAGACAAGTAGGTTACCAGAGGCAGCATTCTTTGCTCGTTCCTATTTGCCCGATCAAGTATCACGTGTAGTTAAATTGTGGCGTGAACAATTAAGTTCTGTCAATGAAAAAGCTGCTCAGAGTCTTGCGAACCCTGACGATTACGAGAATTTATTCCCTGGACTCCAAGACGCCATAGACGCCCAACATTTTTTTGAGAAGGAATTAAAAAATCCACCATTAGCTAAAGAAGCCATGCAAATAACACCCAATCATGAAAGGCATCTTGTTGAGGAAATGAAAACTGCCAGATCTCCTCAAAAACAACAACAACTTTTGATAAATTTATCACAAGACGTCAGTTCTACCAAGTAAGATTTTCTTTATTGACTAATTAATTAAAAACTCAAAAATTAAATTACGAATCTACAAAACAAAGAAATGATTTTATGTATTTAAATATGTTCTACAAAGTTTTGATTGATTGTTAATAATTTTATTTCTAGGTCCAAAACTCATACGGTGGATGAACTTGCAAATTCTGAAATACACGCTGCTCCCCCGGTCTATGACGATGACCTGGACTTGGATCTTGAAGGCATGAATTTAGATGATAATATCGATACGTCGGTAAGTGAATTTTTAAATCAATAATATTAATTGATTGATTACTTGCATTGAGTGAGAGAGCAAAACGTTTGTCATCTTTTCAGGATATTAATATAGATGATGACCTGTTGACCGATTGAACTAATAATTTTCTTTCTTATAAAAAACTGAATACAATAAAAGAAAAAATTGTGTAAATGAATTTNGTAGTACCTTAACAGTTTATATAAGAAGTTAAATATTTCAGAAATATTCTAAACTTTTTTTGCATATTTACAAGATCATAAGAAATTCTTTAATGTAAACAGTGATTAGAAGTGTTTTAAAATTTCTTTTCGATTAAAATAGTTTAATATTCCTACTCCTATTATTTAAATGTTAGATGTTACACGTTGGTACTACGATGCACATATTTCATCGCGAGTCGTTGCAAGTTAGTGCTAGTGTTGTTAATATATTGTCGTATTTTTTAATGTACTATAATTTAAATAAGTTAGTGTGTTACAAGTATGATGTGAATTTGTTTGAAGTAGTTTATCAAGAACCGCTTCTTCGATGGTGCATGGTTCTTCGTGACAGGTAGGATTTTTTATATTGTTATTTTTGAAGTCGGGAACCATTTCGAGAATTGGGTAATGATGACCTGCAATTGTTTTTATTGCTATTTGGTCATATCATGCTACAAATGCCCAATATTGTAATTTTATTTGAATTACGATAAAGTCGCCTGCTTATGTAGGTAGCATTCGCCCCCCTTTGGTTAATATCGTAATCGTACATAATCTACATGGCAGATGGCGCTGTGGAGGTATTAACGAACTACATTAGTATAACTTTTTGCCTAATGATGACGCGCAAGTAGTGATTTTGGGGTAGGATACAATTCAAAAAGTTTTTTATTGGCGTAAGCCTTATTCGCATAATTTTGGGCGAATAACATAAACATATAATAAATAATACAAGCTTTGTTTTAAAATATAGATTTCTCTTTGTTTGTTATTAATTGTATCATTTATTAGGCTTCAAATTTTCCTTGAACACAAATGACGATATTTCGATACAGTTCGTTAAAATTTAATAAGATTTATTAACAAAAAATAATGATTAAGCTAATCGAAAAAAAAAAAAATATTTAAGAGCTCGCCAATTTCTACCCCCAAATCTTTCACTGCACGTTACTACACGTCTAAACTGAAGTAATAAAAGATATACAAATAGATAAAAATAAATGTGTGTAAGGAACAGAAATAAAGCCTTTAACTCATGTCGTTGTGAAAGCCTTAAGGCGTGCTTAAAATGTTTGTAGGTATATTTGTATTTTTAAAAACACTCAATTACCGTTAAAACGAAATAGACGGACGTCCCAGTGCGCGTCCAATAAAAGACAGATTTACGATGAAAAAAGCGGTCCCTTAACTGCTTACAAATTGTTGCCTCAGTAAATGACGGCCTATTAATTATCGGCTTAATCTGTTGTTTAGCTGCGGTATGTGACGCGAGTAGAACGAAATTTACAGGGCGATGACAATGATAAATTGTTAGAAAATCGAGGGTGAAATTGTTTTCAATATTTTATTATATAATTACCATATTATTTATTATACACAAAAGAAAATCTTATTTATGTACCATTAGAAAACACACACTGATGAGTGCCTTTTTACTGTAACAAAGTATAACGACCCTATGACCCTCAAAGATATGCGTAAAAAGTAACTGAAGCTCCCGGAAAAAGTGGAATGGATTTGTTACGTTACTGGGAACGAAATACATTTTTTTATGCAAATTTGTCATTAACAAAAACTAGTAACATTAAGGAACAATATCAAAGAATCGTTTTGAAAATACATCTGTAAATAATTAAATGGTCAAAAGTAAACACCTTTTGTCTATTGGCGTTTCTTCGAAAAATCCACCTTTAGTTATACGCTATTTAAGTCCAAAAATAGCTAATAGTAGACGATTTCAAAAATCCATATCTTAATATCTACTGAACCTTTTTTAACTTAGCTGCTTTTCCGTTTTCGTCCTGAAATTTTCAATTGAAATATCGCTAGTTTTCCTTTGCGATATTTCGATGTAAAATTTCAGGGTGAATATAAAGTTATCTTATTATTGTATTTTTTGAAAAAACGCCAACCGACAAAGTTCCTCCTTTTTGACAATTTAATAACCTAACAAAAGTATTTTCAAAACGATTTTTTGATTTAGCAACTTTTTTGTTAACAAATTCCAACAAAGAATGTTTTTCATTCCCAGTAACGTAACTTGGCTTTGATGTGTGGCAACTTTGTTCGAGGGGTTTAGTCAGTATTTTACGTAATCTTTTTACGTCTATAATCAAATGTTATTATACTTTAAGAAAATAGAAAACAACAATCGAAAGAAACTTAATTATTGTTTCATAACTTAACAGCTATCAGAAGGAAATAAGGAGTAATTATTACCATCGCGTATGTTAAAAAATTAAGGCTCTATACGGAGTGTTCATTAACTGAAACCCGAGATTTCGTTGCTTTTATATTAAAAAAAAAAAGGAAACATTGATGGCTTGTGGCATTACGTTAGTAAAATATTTTCCGTTTTTATATAATAACGGAATTATTAGAAATATCGGTTTACGAATAAAAACACTCTGTATAGTATGTACTCTGTTTCGAGCTGTTTATTCTATTTTGACTATACAGAAAAGCTCTTTTATTAAACAAATCCACTAAAAAAGAAGATGCCTGCTGCAATATTTTTTCGGTTTAATGTTTTTTCTTAAGTGACAAAACAAGCTATTAATTTGCAACCTGACCGCAAATATTCATACAAAAGAAAAGTGCACCTATAATTTATTTTAGCAGGCAGTGTCCGCCAAATTTCTTGTTTTGCTTTTGAAGCGTACCTATCCACTGCCTTTAATTGGTCGAAAATATTAGTCGAAAACTTTTCCTTTTTCATTTTAAATATATATTGTTAAATTAAATTTTAAGATAACAAAAGTACTGAAATGAATTTCTTCAAATCTTTCAGGAAGTTATCTCGTTCTTATTTTTTTGGTGTGAGTGTGTGTTTCTTTAGTAATGCATCATTTTTCATCTCGAACAAATTTTAAACTTTAGAAAAGAGGATAATGTGTATCGTATTAATTGTTGTTATTATGATTACGAAAATGATTGTCTGGCAAAACATCGTGAAGTATTTGTTTGCTACTGTCGGTAAGACGGTCGGGAAATATTACGTCAAAATTGACTATGAGATCTCCCCTTTTGGACGGTTCTTTGGGAAAAGGCAACCCGTGTCCTGAGAATCTTTTAATTGAATTTGGTTTAATTACTTCATCGTACGTGCGCAGGGAGAGAATACGTCCCGAAAGTGTCGGAATATCAATTTTGAAACCGCAAAGGGCTTGCCTTAAAGTCACAGTGGCCGTGTATTTAATATCACTACCCTCACGTTTAAACAAATCGTGAGGTTTATCTTTGATTACAAATACTATATCCGCCGGGATCCTGCCGGGCTCTTGGTCTCCCTCTTTCGGAAATGTTATTTTTGTCCCAGCTTTCCAGCCAGGCTTCACGCTAATGGAAACTATTTTTTCCTCCCGTCTCGTCGATCCGTCTTGCTGCAGTACCTTTCTCGATATTTTCATACGTTTCGTACATCCACTCGATACTTCTTCCAACGTGACAAAAAGATCTTTTTCCAACGGCGGATCCTGATTTTGCTTGTTGTTTCTGGCGGAATGAAAGATTTTCGTGTGTTGCGTGTTGTCCTTGTTATTCCTCAAACCGAAAACTACGAACGGGTCATCTTCGTTATCAGTGTCATCGTCAAACGAGAAAGGATTGTGGTTACCAATGTCAAAAAAGGTTTGGAAAGGATTAGCGCTGCCGAAAAACTGAGCGAAAGTAGCCCGGGGATCGCCATGAAATGTATACCTAGATTTAGGGAAGAAGAATTAAGGAAAAGTACATTACAGTACCATACTCCTATCGAAACTGTTTTCTCGTAATTTCAGGGTCGAGAAAGTACAACATAATTTCCCCGGTGAGAAATCGCATTTACTCATTATTTGAAAAGGATTTCATCATCCTGCGAGTAGTTTCCACGTAGAATAAACAGTAAATTATGCGATTTTATATCTGGGCGATTATGTCGCACTTTCTCATCGTTGAAATTAGGAAAAATCGTACTTTTGAGGATGTGGTAAAAAAAATCGTATACGTGGTAAGAAAGTACGACACCCTCTTCCGGATGTTTGCCGGGGACGGAATACCGTACCCCTAGTGCAAAATATACTACAATAGATTAAGGGTAATAAGAAAGTTGTCCATTGTTTTTTGACTTAGATTTTGTCACCTGAATGTTCCTGAATCCGATGTTTCAGGATTAATACCGCCTTTTAATCCTTCTTCGCCGTATTTATCGTATACGTCGCGTTTTTTCCCATCTGACAATACCTCGTAGGCTTCTGCAATTTCTTTAAACCTTTCTTCAGCCCCAGCTGACTTGTTCTTGTCGGGGTGAAATTTTAAAGCCAGCTTTCTGTAAGCTTTCTTAATGTCATCATCCGTTGCGTCTTTCGACAAACCTAAAATTTTATAATAATCTTTCCCCATATTATTCTACTTGTATTTCGTCATGTACGGAAGAGCATAAGAATTTCTTCGAGTTTTCTTATTAATTGCGAATAAAATTGTCAATCTATCGCGGTAATAATATTATTATACATAATGACAGGTCCTAATCTACATACTTTTGAATTTTTACAATGCCAACTGAACGATAGATTCTAAAAATGTTACAAGATTGATGAGACAACATTAGGATTGCTCCACTGAATTAAATATTTATTGTTATCTACAATATTATTGATTTTACACTTTCTTGGTGAGGGTTGAAACTACCCATCAATCTTTGAAGTATTTTAAAAAATGTTTCGCAATGCGGATGCGATTCATACTCTATCAATTTTATTTTTATGATACGTGGATTGAAATGTATGCTAGGGACTAAGTTGCACTATACGCATATTCGTTGGTGGATGATTGACGTAAGTTGAGGGTTTTGATTTTCACGTGAAAGCTCAGCTGTCGACTGTTCGTCTTTGTCGTGTGCGTCAGCTGTTGTTGCAAGGAGAAGAGATAGCTTATTACAAGAAATGATGCTATTTCCACATTTTCGTAGAGAGTGTACAAGTGTCGCCGTCGTCCACGATCTCTCTCGCATTCCTGGGTAATCCCTCGGGAACCGCCTGTCTTCGCTTTATTAACACTCGACACGTCTCTTTAATCAAGGCGCCCGCCGCGACGTCCGTCGGTGACGCACCAACTATCGCCAACATTATTTTTATCCAGTCTTAAGACGTTAAAATAATAAATCGTTTCGCTAATTATAAATAATTATCAATTATACATATATTAAAATAAGTGCCCAGAGGAATCGATGAAATTAAGAATGTAATTAATAATTAATTTGCTGTCGAAATGAAAGAAAATTTCTTACATAAATTTTGCTTTTTTATTAGTTAAATATACAGTAGAAGTTTGTACTAATTTTCACAAAAGGTATCTAACTTTAACCATTAAAACAAACAATTTAATAATAATTTAATTTTCCAATCCATGGTGTAGAAACGCTGCCTTAATTTAAATATTTCGTTGTCTTTGTCGTCTAAGTACAAAGTGTCCAATTAATCCGCCTGCATAATAAATTGTTACACGGGAAACGGATTTATTTGAGCTGTCTTCAAACACCGTTGTGAGTACGGTGGAGCGAGATTTAGATATGCTCCGCGTGTGTGTAATTAATTTGATTTTATTTTTGGGTCGTTTTTTATAATTTTTCGTGGCCCCGGAGTCCCAATTAAAAGCCAAAGGACAGTGACAGCGATAAGAACGCTAATTAACGTAAAAATAACAACAGCATGTTTTCTTCCCATTCTCTTTTTTTAAATTAATTATTCTGATTGAAATTTGGACTCAAAGCAGTATTTGGCATTTTTACAAAATTATTCGCATTATTCAATGGTTTATAATAATTTATTAGCGAAGTGTGGTAGGAAGGTGATGATATGATATAGGTATTATATGAATCGGAAACATAAAGCACAGATGTTACCAAAACATGCGTAACACGGCGCACATAAAGTGCTTACTGCTGATATTTTGAAAAGTGTCATTTAGAATCTTGATGTTTAGTAAACGGAAGCCGAAAGTTACAACAAACAGTATTATCGTACCGTAAATATAATTTTTAAATGGACGAAATTGTTTTTGAATACTCTGTCAAAACAATCCGCTCGTTAACAATTTAACAACTTTGAAGATGCAATATACATATGTATGTGTGTGTGTGTGTGTGTGTGTGTATACACAACATATTCTAAACTTAACACTTAAATACTTACCCACACAATACAGCAAAAGATCGCGCACCAGATCCAGATGCTTCGCATTTCAGATCCATGGGTGTTCTCTTCGTTTTATTTTATTTCAACATAAAATAGGTACTTACTGGTTTATTCCAATTTTGTGATATCTAATTAGTAGACAAGCAACACAAATATCCAGTGCCAGTAGTAATTCGAAATAATTCAAATAATCACGCCAGAAACATTGACATTTACCATTATCCTTACAGTATCTTTCAAAAAATTAATTTTCATTTAAAATCATACAAAAATCTGAACTCAATAACATTTTTTGACTAAAAGACCAAAAGAGAAAATATTATAAATATGTAATAAAATATGTGCTACCTATTTTTTTATGTATATCTATCATATAATAATACTTCGAGTTGATCGTATTTTTTTTTAATTTACAACATATAAATACATGGTACATAACAGACATGTTCTCACATCAAAAGTACGGACGGAATTAAAAGTTTAAACAATAATAAAGTTTTACTTGGCACACATTTATTATTTATCCACGACTACTGAAAATAAGAAAAAATAAGACAAATTAATTTATTCATAAAGCTCACATAACATTAAAGGCGTAAAATATTATTAAATACACTATTGCATTAGGTAATGTACAATAACGCATAAAAATATTTGGAACTGATCGCTGGGGTGCCAAGAAAAGCATTTCTATTTATTATTCGTTAAATAAATATTACTCGTTACGTGATGGGTGTTTGTTATACATAATTTGTTTGAAATATAAAAAACAGGACGTTCTTATTCTATTTAGAACAAAAAAGGAAAAAAAAATAACATTTTATATATCGAAAATTAAGAAAACTAAACAACAACAAATAGAAAAAAAAAACAGGGTCGTACTAAATGTAAATGTTTTCGAGAAATTCGTACCAAAGGTAAACCGTAAGTCTGTAAAGCTGACGCAAAACAAAGTGGACCTAATACGGTGTAAGGTCAAAAATTTGGGGCTCATACTTTATTTCTATTGATTTTACTAATTTCGTTTTTCTTTTTAATGCTATGCATTCTCTTGAAAGTTAGTTAGCTCCTAAAAATCCCCCAATTGAAAATTCATATTGATACCTTTACTGCGTCAGCTTTTCGGCCATATAAATCGTCTTGTCACACTTGCTATTTACCACTAATCGTAAGTGCACATAATAAATACATAGAGGCATGTGCATATAGAGAGCTTGTCACACAACAACATGGCGATGAATAGGATTAAAGAAACACCAAGCACGTAACGCTAAATAACAAAAAATCATTTTTTTTAAGTAGATATAGTCTCGCTTTGAGAGTCGAAAAAGCTCGAATCACAAGGTGTATTTTCTTCTTTTTATACTTTATCTTATAATCATCGCGATCGAGAATGGTTATTATGTTATGGTGGCTCCTGGCGTCTCGATAGGATCATGTCACTAGAACAGATATTGACGATCGGATGGGGGTGAATCGTGGGAACTGGAATATCCGCTTTCGTGGCTCCAATATGGAGTGGTATACCTTTGTACCGCGGAGGAGAATGCGGCCGCCGCAGCCGACACGGACGTAGAAGAAGGATAAGGCTGTTGGGTGTAAGAAGACGGTCCTGCGGCTGTACAATTTTGTAATCCTAACTGGGACTGGCAGCTGGGAAGAGTCAACTGCGCCGATTGTGGAAACCAAGACGTCGGATCATAGTGAGTAGCATAGACGCTTGGCGGTGGAAACATCTCGATATTTCGCGGCAACTGATGTAGACTCCGGGAATTGTCGTACATGATTTTGGAGTTGGCGTAGGGATGTGAGCGATAAGTGGCAGGTCTTTTCATTCTTCTTCGTCTTCTGAAGTTGCCATTTTCAAACATGTCCTCGTAGAGTGGATCTAACGTCCAATAATTGCCTTTACGTTCACCGCCTCCATCGCGAGGTACTTTCACGAAACATTCATTCAACGAAAGGTTATGACGAATGCTGTTCTGCCAACCCTTTTTACATTCCCTGAAATACGCAAAGTTCGAGGTGATATAGCCATAGATTTCGGATAGGGTTGCACGTTTCATTTGCGAAGATTGTATAGCCATGGCTATCAGCGCGACGTACGAATACGGCGGTTTACTTTCCGTACTGCTCGAGGATGGTTGTGGCGACTGGTTGTGGGTGTCTCCCGATGTTGTGTTTCTTTCTTTTTTATCCGTCAAATCTGTAGAATCTGTACTGTGCTGTGTCGTAACTGATGATGTAGACGAAGAGTTGTAACTCGTAACAGACGTCGAACTCGGGACTACTGGAGATGTGGAGTTGGTGACGGCCAGTGACGATGAATTCGCTGAAACAAACAAATTCGATATCCACACGAAGAGTAAAGAGAAGATTTGATTAAACTACTACGTAGTCGGTCTTCATCGATCAATCAATTTCAAAATCAGAGTATCAACCAGAATTGAATTTGTACGAATTCAATAAATTTCATAGCTTAGCTGGATTCCAGTGGACTACGAAATAGAGAACTAAGCTCGTCGGAAGCTCAGGGCGAAAATTTGCGGAGAACATTTGGTTGATACCTACTCCTTCAAGTAAATTATAGCATGTGTGCAATTCCAAAATTCAAACTGCCCCATATACTAATAGAAGGTATTTTGATCTTATTTAGGGTTTTTCGAAATTTGAAGGCCCCCTTCCTTAATCCGCCAGTGGGAGAATCTTTCTTCAAATTTCTTGGGAAAGAAAGAAGATTTGGGAACATTAGGAACGCGAATTCCGCAATTTGCAATAAGTATTTTTGCATTCTACGGAATTATTTGAACAATTTTTACACATAAACAAAACCCAGTCGATAAAAAAAACTGTGGTGTGTAATTGATAAATGATATATTATACAAAATAAGACGTCACGTTTGCTATGGTTCATTAAATCAAAGAACAGCACAAACACTCGCATTGGTAGAGGTAATTCAGAATCCCATGAACTATGCCACACTTTGCGCAGTGACAAAAGCCCCCCCGTTCATTGATTTCTACATTTGTATACCTCACATGATCAACAGCCCAATGATACCTATACGCCAATGATGAGGATTCCGCTGTAAAAAGAGCATCCATTGGATACAGTATCTACCTGTGTCTACCATTCATTCCACGGTCAATTATTCATGTGGCTAAACCTGTTTGGAGGCAATGGTGACAAAGGGTGTGTCTTCGTGGTACCATAGCCGCATATATTTTGAAATTATTCTGATAGGTAGGTGCCTTATTTATCGTGCATTCTAATTGTAATTTTTATCATTATTGGTGTGTTTATTGAGAAAAATGTTAGTCGGTGGCCGAGCCAACGTACGTAGGTACGTAATATATTAGTAGGCTTATTGTATAGGTGATTGCGTGTGTCACGCCCACATAAACAGGTAATTATTTGTTCGCCCTACGCGGCCCTCTTTCTTCGTTCGAACCGTTAAGTAAGTAAAGGTAATGCAAAGCAAAAACGAACGGTAATCGATGACATTTGCGCCAAAGCGTAAACCCCGCAGCGGAGCGGAGCGGAGCGCATAGCGGAGGCGCGGGGTCGAGACCGGCCAATTAATTAATTTATCGAACAATTACGACTAGTGTGCAATGCAATTATATAGTAAATACGTTCGGTAATGCGGACACTCATTGTTTTGCCACGTCGTTGTAATAATAACGTTGTAAAGCGACTCTTGAACGATAACGTAGGTAACTATATTGTGGGTCGAGAGTATCGGGCAGAGAATAATAAGTAGAGTAACAATAATTGCTATACAGTTTAAAGAGCAAAAAATGAAAAATTAAATTTCGAGACCACCTGTATTTGCCAATGCAGTGCATACTTATCGCAACAGGTACCTTTACAGCGGGATTTACTTGAAGGCGGCGCGATGCGTATACGCGCGAGAAGAAATCTCCACTTCTGCCTCATCGTAAAGTAAGCGACAGAAGCGTATCAGGCGACCTGATGCTCTGCAGTTATTTTTCGGCGAGAATTGGTTAGTATTTTTAATAAATTTTGTCAAAAACAAAAACGCTATATTCTGATTTTTTGACAAAATAATTAGGTACTAAGGATTAGTATGTTCGAAAACTAAAGCGCAGAAGTTTATTTGAAATTTTTTCAAGTTTTCCGTTTATACCCATTGAGCCTCACACTTTCAAATCTGGCGACGAATAATTACCTACAATTACAGTATAGGGATTACTTTTATTTATTAATGTCTGGTAAATGTGCAACAACTACGTCGAAATAAGTTTTTTTAAAACTGATTTTTTAAGCGTTGGCGCTCAGTTAACTTGGTATACCACATGGCTTCATAGCCCAATGTAGTAGGTAACTTGTTGCTTTTTAATTGCCTGCATGCAAGTTAGCACAATAAAGTGTCCCATTTTCTGATTTATCTTTCAATTTTACGGAATAAGTAGCTAATTTGATACCGTTCTAGTAAATCAAAATCAACGGTCCGACAAATTGTTCGTTTCGGTTGCCATAGCAACGCGAGCTGGTTTGCTTTATACACAAACAACTGGGTTGACATTTTACCTTTACCGTGTGTGGAATTTTTTATAATAGTTATGAACTTTTGCTACACGTTTCCTTATAACAGCAATAACAATGCTTTCCAAACACGTATGCACACTGATTTTCTATAAATACAGCTTTGTTTTGAAAAGGCTGTCGCGAGCACAGCGACAAATGGGGGATAATCCCGATGGCCACACTGGAACATAGACGAAATGCTATCCTGATATCAAGCTGGAACTATACAGAATACATAGCATGCCTCGAAACAAAAACGGCTATAATTTGTGTCGCTCAAAAATCTTTTATCGGTTTTGTTGCCAGTTTATCATCCAGATATAACGTATCTCAAAATAGAAAAATACGGTAAGGGCTATTAATTTATCGCTTAAAGATTGCAGATACATTTATCTGTTTTGTTGCTGGTCTATCACTCTATCATCCCTTTGTCCAGCGAAAAACTACTGGAGGACCGCCCTTTGAACGCTTCACATTGCGTATCTCGAAATAAGACTGGACAGATGGAGGACAGACTAGCGACAAATTATAGCAGCGTTTGTCATTCTATTTCGAGATACGCTACGTCCAGCATCAGTTACAAGATATCCACCAAGCAAGTATTTTGTCTATTTTCCAGTAACCTGTTGGAGCAACAAATGTTTGAATTTGATAACAAACTAGCGACAAATTATATTCTTTTTCGAGATAGACTAAGATCAGCAACAGTTACACGATATTCATCAAACTACATTTTGTCTATTTTCCAATAACCTGCTGAAGGGACAAATTTTTGAATTTGATAACAAACAAGCGACAAATTGCAGCGATGTTTGTCTATGTCATTCTTTTTCGAGATAGAATAAGATCGGCAACAGTTACAAGATATTCATCAAGCTAGCATTTTGTCTATTTTCCAATAACCTGCTGGAGAGACAAACTTTTGAATTTGGTAACAAATTAGCGACAAATTATAGCGGTGTTTGCCTACATCATTCTTTTTCGAGATAGAATAAGATCGGCAACAGTTACAAGATATTCATCAAGCTAGAATTTTGTCTATTTTTCAATAACCTGCTGGAGGGACAAATGTTCGAATTTGGCGACAAATCATAGCGGTGTTTGTCTACGTCATTCTTTTTCGAGACAGAATAAGATCAGCAACAGTTACACGATATTCATCAAAGTACATTTTGTCTATTTTCCAATAACCTGCTGAAGGGACAAATTTTTGAACTTGATAACAAACAAGCGACAAATTACAGCGATGTTTGTCTAGGTTATTCTTTTTCGAGATAGAATAAGATCGGCAACAGTTACAAGATATTCATCAAGCTAGCATTTTGTCTATTTTTCAATAACCTGCTGGAGGGACAAATGTTCGAATTTGGCGACAAATCATAGCGGTGTTTGTCTACGTCATTCTTTTTCGAGATAGAATAAGATCGGCAACAGTTACAAGATATTCATCAAGCTAGCATTTTGTCTATTTTTCAATAACCTGCTGGAGGGACAAATGTTCGAATTTGGCGACAAATCATAGCGGTGTTTGTCTACGTCATTCTTTTTCGAGACAGAATAAAATCAGCAACAGTTACACGATATTCATCAAACTACATTTTGTCTATTTTCCAATAACCTGCTGGAGGGACAAATGTTTGAATTTGATAACAAACAAGCGAGAAATTACAGCGATGTTTGTCTACGTCATTCTTTTTCGAGATAGAATAAGATCGGAAACAGTTACAAGATATTCATCAAGCTAGAATTTTGTCTATTTTCCAATAACCCTCTCCAGCAACAAATTTTTGAATTTGGTAACTTACTAGCAACAAATTATAGTGCATTTTAGAAATATGAAGCATAACTTTGTTATGCTAGCTTGATATGCATACATGTATTAATTAAAAGTGAGTACATTTTTATAAAATTGGTTACAAGCATTATCATTAGATAATCAAATTGCATAAACATGACAATCGGATTATTAGAAAGTATGTCTACCTCAGATGAGTAATGTTTTTAAGAAAAAGCTCAGTATTTTCATTAACTTGCAACTGAAACACGTTGCGGTGCAATTGTCGCTACCGTGCATTATTAAAAAGCAATCCTAAACGATTAGGTATAATAATAATAATATACACATGAACCACCTATGTGTATTATGTATGGCTGTAGTTCTGTAGTGTGTAGTATGCAAAACAAGCGGTGGTGTGGTATAGTAATATGTGTTTGGGATTGACAGTAGGCGGCGAAAGCAAGTAGCATTTTGTCAGGTGTTGGTTACAAAAGCTTTCGACCTAAGCAAGTTCATTTAAGGTCAAAATCCTTTGTAATGCATTTTTATATGATACGTACATTATGCAATGTGACAGGTCATCTTTACCAGAGATGATGATTTGAAATGAAGAATACGAAATACATTTCAATACCACTTCTAAATTCCAATTTTTTGAGAGTTGTCACACCACCGTGTACATAAATGGATGCCAAAATCCTGATAAGATTCTATTATTGTATATTTCCTACATGAATATCATCAGTCTGTCAAACTACCACACTACATCACAAAAATTGCAAACGATTCACATGAGAATTTAGTGCTTTTAAGTGCTCCATTCTTACTAATATGACAATCAGTGGTGGTTCTGAATGAAAGCTGAGGTAGTCCATCCACGACAAAATTACTGAACGAATTTGTTTCAAAAAGTGTTTACTTATGTTATAATTTTAATAAGTATTTCTGCATTTTGTAAGATCTATTGCCAATATTCGTAATTACAAATTGGTAAAAGCTTTCG